GAGAGCAGCCCTGCACCCAATTCCACCTTTGTGTGAGCAGGGGCTGTCTGCAGGAGTGGGATGAGCCTTGGCCTGGGATAGAGGAGTCTCTGTGACTCACCTGGGAATTGCTCCAAGGCTTGGGCAGGGCTGAGGAACATTTTTGTGGCATGACGCGAGGTTTTCCTCTCCCTTGGAGGGAAAGGTGCTGCTGAGCCCCAGGTTTTTGGGGAAACCCTCCTGCAGGCAACCCGCCGTGGAGGCAGGCAGGGGTAAGGGAGCTGCTGCCTCCACTCCCAGCTTCCCTCTGGTCCTGCCTTAGGGCCAGACAAAGCTCCTCAGGGGCCTTTGAGCCCTGTATTTGAAGTTTTGGGGCTCACTGAATTATGGACTGTGTAGACAGAGCCAGCAGGAGCAACATCAGGCTCTAAGACCATGTTTCACCCTTGCTCCATGTTTTACATTGGTGTCTCAGCCTTTGGTATTCAAGCCCTACAGCTTCTCCAGGGAATATCAAAATCCCAGTGTGCACCAAAGGGGAAACTGAGGCACAGTAAAGGAAAACCAGACTTTCACAGGGTGACAACTCAGCTGTACAGCCTGAACCCCGCTGATGTCAGGAGAGGCTGCTTGCCATCACCAGCAGCCAGACCTAGGGCGAAGCGCAGAAATTTTGAGCAGAGCCAACAGCCACTGGCAGCTGGGCTCCGCTCAGATGACCCCCAGTCTCTGGGTCTCTGGCTGCTCCTGCAGAGACCACACTCCCCCAGGAAGGAACAGGGACAGCCCTGGCCTGCTTTTGCTTGAAGCTTCCACGACTGCGGTGCTGTCACTCCCCGCTCTGAACCACGCTTATTGCTGTTGCAGCACCTGCGGCCTCAAGGATGCTCGTGCACGCAGCACTGTGGGTTTCCGCTGCACTTTGCCATGCACATCCTCCCGCCTAGCCTCACAGTCATACGCCCTCCTAGTGACCAGAAAAACTACCCCCTCTGAAAAAGAAACCAGAAGAGCCCCACCTAGCCCTAAACATAGCGCTTGTGACACCCCCAGAGGAAGCAGGGCTCTCTGTCAGGGGCGGTATCTGGGCAGGCAGGCTCCAAGGGGCAGCACCAAAGGGAAAATCCTGCCTTTGGAAGCGCTGCATCTTCTGCTTCCTGCACGCTCCAAGGGAAACTAAAAAAGGGTTTGTTCCCAAGGGAGGTACAGGACCGTCCCCTAGTGCCCATTGCTACTTCTGCTGCCCCCAGGTTCTGCACAGGGGGAACGCAGAGGACAGCTTCTTTCAGATGCTCGGTGTCCCAGATTGCCTCCTCTCAGAGGCCTTTTTTTAGTAGAGATGTCATAAAGGTTAAATGGCAGCACAAATAAACAGAGCAGCTTTCCCTCGGCCTGAGCCATCTGCGCGAGGCAAGTTTGCCATTTATCCATAAATACCCTGGCCATTCATTATCCAGGCAGGAACATTGGCTCCTATGATACACTTAACTCCAAAAAGCAAACAAACAAACAAAACAACAACACAAGACCAACAACCGCCTTAGTTTCAGACAAAACAGGATGTACAGTTTTATTCCTGCACTGAGCTGCTTTGTGTTTACTGCCTCTGAGCTTCAGAGGAGGGAAGGAGGGCTAGGACTTCCTTTTAAGCTCATAATTAATTGTTTGCAGTTTAAAAAAAAAGAAAAGCGGAGCCCTTTGAAATGCTTCCACTTGAAAATGGATCTGAATGTGCTGAAAAAAAGCCCTGACTGGTTGATTTTGGGATGTGCCTGGCCCAGAGGGACCTTCCTGGCTGAGGCATGTGGGGAAGCAGTGGAGCAGCAGGTCCCAACCCGAGCCCACCGACGTGGGGTAATGGCACCGGGGGCTGTGGTGCAGCAACCTGGCAGTGTCCCTCCGAGGGGCAGGGGGCAGCCCTGGCACTGCCCTGTGCCGAAACCACAGCCCCAGCCACCTCCGAGCACGGCTCCGCAGCTGGTTTATAAACGCCTTTTCTTTTTGGTGTGCGCATCGCCCTTTGTTTTGCAGATGAAGAGATGTCTATGTGCTAAAGAAAGGGGTTCTTCAGTTTTAAAGAACAGAGGGGAGGGGAGGGCAGGAAAACTGGTGCCTTTGGAGCCTGTGAGCGCAAGGGGTTAGCCGAGGCCACTCGTCGCTAGCTCAAAGGCTGCCTCAGTGCAGCCTCACCGTTTAGGAAAATTTCATGGTGTCGCTCAGTTTGGTGAAGCCACAGCATCTCCCTCCAAGAGAGAGGATGGAGAGGGAGAGCCGCGTCCATGCTACAGCCCCTGATGGGCCTAAGCTCAGAGCCCGCAGAGCTGCTGGCGGGAGCTTGGCTGTTTTTCTCGGTTGAGGTATGGGACCAAAAATTGGGCCAGGGAGGTGCTCAGAGACAGGGCAGTGTCTTTGGGAGGGCTGCTCAATGCCCTGCTAAATGAGCTCTTTGTTTTTGGGTAGCCAGCACTGGCAGCACGTCAGGGGAAAGCTGACACGGTAACTCACTTGGGAAATCCTGTGGCGGGGACGTGGGGCTGGGGCCGCTCTCCGTGCCCCTTGTGTAAGGTTTTATTGACCGTGGGTGCCCAACGTCGGCTCTTTTAACTGGCGTCGGCTGGAAGCGAGCCGATTTTCAAGGGCGGGGAGCATCTCCTGCGTTACGGGCGGCCGTGGGTGGAAAACAAGCACAAAATGGGGCCAACCACACTCCCGGCTGGGCTGGGGAGGCAAAGGAACCAAAACACAGAGTTGCCTTGGCAATGCCAGCTCGCCCATGCCTGAGACTGAGCGACCGCAGTGCTGGGGCCAGAGGTGAAGATTGCAGGGAGGCGGCAGCTCCCTGAGAGCGGGGCTGGGACCTGCTATGTGCGGGCTTCTCCCTTGGGGCCTGCTGCCACAGCTGGCACAGGGGCGGCAAGGCACGCACGGAGGGAGGACATCCACTTCCCCTTTGCACCTGCAGGCTTGAAGGGAACCCGGGTTAAATCTGACCCTGAGGGCCAGCGGTTCCCTTCCTAGCTGTGCCTGCACACTGCCCTGCTGGGAACCAGGCATAACACCAGCCTGGCCAGCCGGCATCCCCAACCCACAGCAGGCTCGGGAGATGTTCCTCAAATGGTAAAAAATCCAAACGCACGCCAAAAGCCACCACCCAAACCCAAACCCAAGTGAGCCTTCGCCTTTCTCCCCCTGCCACCCTTCCAGCCCGCAGCGGTGCCGGCGCTCCCCCCCCCAGCCCCAAAACTCCCGCTGCGGGCGCTGGATACCCGGCGCAGAGCCAAACTCCGCCGTGAGCTCGGCCCCATCCCTGCGCCCCCCTCCCCATCAGCACGGCCCCGGCCCGGCCACCCGAAGCCCCCCGGCGCTGTCAGGGCTCCCGCAGCGCCCCCCCGGCCCGCAGCCCCCAGCCCCTGCCCGCCCCCGACCTGCGCTCCGAGGCCTTCCTCCGTCTGCCCCGCGTCCCCGGCCAGGTGCTCGCCCAAGCTCCGCCGGGGAGGCGACGACGACGCCGGGGCCCCCCCTTCCCCTCCCTTCCCTCCGCCCTCCCGGGGAGGGAACGGGCGCCCGGCCCCGCTGCCTCCGCCCCCGGCCGGCCCCTCCCGGACCCCCCCTGCCCCGAGCCCGCCCCCACGGGGGCGCCCCGAGAGGGGTTTGGGGGCTCCACAACTTTATTTAGTTCTGGTTGAGCAACGCCAGCCCCTCAGCCAGGGCCTGGGGGGCAACGTGGAAGCATCCCCGGCGTCGCCCTCAGCGCCCGTGCCCCTCACGGTGCCAGCTCCCGTCACGGGGCATCGCGATGGCGCTGGGTTGGCATGGGAGGCTTCACGCAGCCACCGGCTTTTTGGGGGCTCGGAGCCCACCACCTGCTCCTCTCACCCGTCCGCCACGCTGCCCCGCAGGCCGTGGGGCCACCCTGGCTCCTACAGCGTGTGCTGGGCGATGGCAAAGGGGCACCCCCTGGGCAGGAGGTGCCCAGCGTGCCCGGGTGCTGGGGACGCCTTTGCTGTTTTTCAGAAGCGGCACCGAGTAAGAGGAAGCTGTGACTCAGAGGCCAATGAATCATTCCCACGCCGGATTTACGCCACTTTTTTTTCTTCCTCCTGGCCCTCCAGCTCAGGCTGAGGAACCTGTGGAGACCTTTGTGGGAGTTTTGGTCCCTTTAAAGCTGGAACAAGACCTAAAAGTTTGGGAAAAGCTGAAGTGCCTCTGGCTGGCAGAGAAAACAGCGCCAGTAGTGCATCGGCGCTCCAGGCGCGAGCCTACGCATCCCATAGGAGCCACGGGAGCTCACAGCAAATCGCCTATTTTTACCCAAAGCATGCAATCCCCCAGGACTTTGTTTTTAACTCAAATCAAGGGCAAAATCGTGGCTGGAAAGATGCATCCCACAGCCGAGAGCTCTTTTTGCCCCAGCCCCTAGCTGACATTAACGGGGGTGCATTTGCTGCAGCACTGCTTTTCAGGCAAATGTTTACTACATTCAATCGCAATTGTTACGTGATGTTAATTCCTCCTTGCTCGGGCTTGCCAGCAAACCCACCGCTTGCTGCAAACTTTTCCCCATCGAGGTGTTGCAGCCTTGCACCCTCACCCCCAAATTTCCCGATTTTGCCTCCCAGGCAGCACAGACAGGAGCGGCCGCAGGCACGGGCACACCTTCCCCTCGGCTCTCTGTTTGCACACACTGGCCCAGCTTAAAGTAAGCAATGGAAAACTCTGCTCCCAGGGAAACATTCCTTTCATTTTTCCCCGATGCTTCTGCCTTTTCCTTCCCTCTACCCCCTCCCAGCTATAAAAAAAAAAAAAAAAAAAAAAAAAAAAAAAAAGAAAAAAGAAAAAGGGAGGCTGCAGCTTAAACACCAAAAATAAAGCATGCCCAGTCACTCACTGGATAAAAATAGCAGCCCTTGGTATTTATTTGAACAGCAGCAGTCGCCTTTCCGGCTTTGGAGCAAAACCTGAGAGGTGGGAGGAGGATGGGATGGGCGATGCTTTGGAGGAGAGGGTGAGCATGGCACAGTGCCTTGGCTGGCATCATGGAGTTTGGGGTCTGGGGGGCTCAGTGACAGCCTTTCCTCTCCCAAGGTTCGCTCTGCAATTTGCTGTGTAAGTGGGAATGGGGATCCCAGCACCCGTTGCCTCCCAAGGCTGCGTTTTTTTTGGGGGGGTGTCAACTACCTGCATGGGAACAAGCGATGCCAGGACACAGCCTCGGTGCCCACGGGGTTTTCCTGCCCCAGGGTCTGTATCTGACCTGGCTTCTCTCCATCGGGATTGCTGGCTGCAAGGCGGCCTCCCGGGGGTTAACGGCTGTGAGTGGAGATGCCGGTTGGGTTGGTTGGATTTCTTTCCCTTTATTATTATTACTACTTTTTAATCTCATGCTGCTCTGAACACCTGGTTTCTGCCTGATGCTGAGAGCTGCCAAAATTCCCTTTTAGGCAAAAACACGTTCGTGTTTGTGGGAGCAGGGTCGCAGCTGGCTCCCCCCTCCCAGCCGTGCTCTTTCCCTCAGCTGAGCGGTGCTCTTGGGGCCCCTGGGTGCAGCACCGCCAAACCTGAGCCCAGGGGAGCAGTACGAGCTGGGTGAGGTGATGCCATTTCTTTAATGATAAGCAGCTGCCTAATTAAAAAAAATAAATAAAAATGCCAGTTGCAAGTCGTTTCTGTGGGACATGCCACTTGCTGGTGCCTCTGGGGAGCTGAAGCTCGGCTCTGGCAGGGCTGGATCACTCTGCCTGGTGGCACCGGCCCCACCAGGGGCTTGGACCACCTCAGATGGGACTTCCCAGATGTGGCTCGTGTCCCACAGCTCTTGGCCACCTGGGGACTTTGGCTGCTGGAGCTGAAGTTTAACCTGAATCTTCCCTGCTCCAGGAGCAGCAGCCCAGGATTTGAGGTGTTTGGGGTGTTTTACAGGGGGTCCCCATGTGCTGCAGACCCCTGGCTGCCAGTGTTGGTTGGTGGCACTGCCCTGAGCTCCCCCTGCTCACGCAGGCTCTGCGGGGAGGACAGCAGCTGGGTGCCTGAGGAAACGAAAGCGAGATGCAAATTGTGGGAGGTGAAAGAGGCAAAACATGCCTGAGGCCTTCCTCTTACAGCGGCTTTACCTCTTCTTATCCCCCCCAGGAGGACGCTGGAGCTGGTGGGTAGGGGCAGCTCTGGGTCACGGGTGAGGAACCGATACGAGACGGGGAGTGGGCAGATGCTGGCTGCTTTCGACATGACTCGGGTGCCCTGGGGACGTGGGAGCTGGAGGGTGGCCCAAGGGCCTGGGCCTGTCCCCAGCGGCAGGGGGACATGGGATGCTGGCACTCCTCCATCCCTCCATGCCACTCCTCATGCCACGGTGCCCCTTCCTCCCTCCCTGCCCCCAGTTTCTCTCATCTGCTCGTCAAATCACCAATGATAGGATTTCCCACCTTATCACTCCTTCTTTCACTTTCTGGAGGGTTTTCCTTGCAAAGCTGCTTTCTTTTCTCCCTCCCCAACATCCTTGTTTGTTGTGATGTCACCAAGGCTGGGGACAGCATGGGGACAAGGGCCTGTTGTGGACACCAAAGATGGCTTCTGCATCCCCCTCGCTCTGGGCACAGGGACGAGGTGACTGGCAGAGAAAGGAGGGCAGTGGTGTGGATTCAGGAGAGGAGGTAGCAGGCTGAGCGGGTTAATACTGCAGCTGTTCAGGCTCTGGGTTTGGGACTGGTGTCTGCCAGCCTGGTCGGGGACCTTTGTCCGTGCTCCCGATGTTTGCTGGTGGGACAAAGTTCCTGAGCATCGCTCATGCAAGAAGGGGACTTTGGTAAGAGGGCTCTGATGAAACGTTTCAGGACAAAGTGCAGGCAGTGGGGCTGGTGGCTGGGGGCTCTGCTCGGGCTGGAAGAGCCCCGGGGGAACGTGGCTGCCGTGCACAGCCCAGGAGGGAGGCGAGAGATGTGAAATGGCACCACGCAACTACACCTTGTTCAGTGCTGGATGGGGACCCTGGTGGGGCTGCCATCCAGCTCACTCATCTCTAAAAGGCTTTGTGGACCTTGCTTGGTGCAAATCAGAGCCATTCTGGCCCTGGGCCTGCACTGGGCCATTGCCAGAGCAGCACACAGGGGCTGTTGAGTGCAGGCAGTGCTCGGCCAGGGCTCCCGGCAGCGGGGGGGCTGTGGCTGTGCCCCATGCACAGCGGTTCCTTTTTCTCTCTCAAGTTGGAGCGAGAAACAGAAGTTTAGAAACCACCACCAAGCAAATTCCCCTGGTTTTGTCTCTCCAAAATTAAATTTCACAAATATTGTAGCAGTCTGGCAGAAGGGCTTCTTTCAGGCTTTCTCATCCCGGCTGGCAGCACAGCGAGCATGGAAATTCAGGAGGAGGAGATCTAAATAAAGCCTCTGTGCAAAATGAAGGGAAACTTCCCATGCTCTCTGAAATTCAGACTTGTCCTGGAGATTTTGCTAAATTAAGGTTTTATTCTTTTTTTACCAGGAGCACGTTCTGCTGGTGGAAGGAGGCTGCCTTGCAATTTGGCTTTTGAGGGGTTCCTTCGTGCTGGGGACAGATTCGTGTTTAAATCAGGAGGGGGCTTTAACCAAAGGTGTCGGGGTCTCCAGCTCCACTCCCGATCACTGGCACTGGTTGGTTTCTCTAGCTGTGAACTGCAGAGCTGAAGACCCCTGGGAGCAGTTGAATTTGTGAACAGAAACTGAGGCCAAGGAGCAGCTCTGCCCCCGGCTTGCTCCTGCTGTACCTGGAGCCTAAGGACCAGCCACCCTGACCCGACTGTGGGGTCTCTCTGTTCTTCTGAATGGGGTGCGGGGGTAACTTGGTCCGGAGAAGACCTCAGAGGCTCAGGTCCCTGCTGCCCCAAGCAGACAGGGTTGCTCAGGGCTTTCTCCAGCTGGATCCTGAGAACTTCCAAGGATGCAGACTGCTCAGCCCCTCTGTGCTGGGCTGTACCCAGTGTTCCTCCTTTTTAAAATTTATTTTTATTTTTAGCCCAGTTGCTCTGCCCCTTGTGTCTCAGTTGCTGTGTTCCCCCTTCATGTTTCTTTGCACACTTGGCGAGCACGAAGACCACTTTCTCCCAGCCTGGAAGAACCTCATGGCACAAACCCCTGGCACCCACGGCCAAGTTGTTGGGACACAAAAAATCAGGAGGGGCCCTGGGTAGGTCCTGGGTAGGAGAGTCCCTGGTGGGAGAACAGGGGCTTGGTGCCTCCTCCCAGGGTTGGATGGGTGCTAGGGGCAGGGGACACGGACAGGCGGGGACACAGACAGGCACACAGCTCGCTCCTTCGGTATCTTTTATTAATGTATAGAAAATGCATTAAAAAAAGGAACTATACATAGCCTAAGAGCGGTCAGGACTAAAAATACTAGTTAACAATGGTTAACAAGCGTCGATCCCATTCTCCCAGCTACGTTTTCATTACGGGGTGGGGAGGGTTGTTTAATATATTATTTATTTATTTTCTTTATGCATTTATCTGCTTTCATCTTCCCCCTCATTTGGCTGCAGTGGTCTGTGTTTTAGTTCATTAGAATCTGTCCAAGGGATTTCATTGCCTCCATTCTTCCTTCTTATCTGCGTGTGTTTGTTTTAATTTTCTTATTTATTTGTTTTGGATTTTTGAAGCAATCAGCACAATTGCAGTGTAATGCCTGCATGCAGGGGACTGCTTTCTGTTGGGCTGGTTCTGTCTCAGTGCCACCATCCCTCCAAGAAGCTGCTGGCACCTGCGGAGCTTTGGGCTTGCACCCCCAGGCTGGGTGCCGAGGGGGCCTGGAGGGCAGCATTTCCCCAGGGATGAGCCTTTCCCCCCCATACCCCCAGACCTCTCCCCTACAAGGGGCAGGGAGATGGCACCATCCCCACTCGGACACCAGCTGGTATAGGGAGGGGGGGAAGGTGGCCATGGAGGGTGCAACCCATGTGTGGGGGGCTCGGTTGGGTGGTTGGTGGGGCTGGGCTTGGCCCCAGGACAGAGCCTTTGGTCAATGGGTGTAAGGATTAAAGTTTTTTTGGGGGGGTGAGAACTCTTTGTTGGCAGTGTCTGGGAGGGTCAAGGCTCACGGGCACTGCCGGGGGTGTGTGGCCACCCCAGGAGTGGGAGCTTTGGCTTCTGCTGAACTCCATCAGGGTGCCCTAAGCTCTGCTTCACGTGGGGTAAATATCCCCTTGGAAAAGAGGTGAGAGTACATTTAGGCTCGTACTGCACTTTGAGATGCCCATGGTGAAGGAACACAAAGAGAAGGAGCAGAGGCAAAGGCTTCTCCCCAGTCTTTGAGTGGCGCCGACGCTCCTCCAGCATCCTTCTGCCAAAGCCCAGATATTTTCAGGGAGGCCTCTTCACTAAATTATCCATTTCTGAACACTGTCTTGAGGATCAGTGTACTGAGAGCAGCTTTTCCTTTCAGGCCTTTTTTCTTTGGCTGTGTTTTAAAGCAGCACATGGTTGAAAGATGGGCTTCAGGTCAGCTGGGAATGGAAACGGAGGGAAAGAAAACATCGGGCAAGAGATGAGAAAGCTCCTTGGTGTTTCCTTCTGGGGTTTCGGGGTTAAAAATGAGATGTGGCTTTGCAAGGCTGGGAGGTCCTGTGGGTCTTCTGCTGGGTGATGGACATGAGGTGGCTCTGCAGGACCGGTGTGGGTTGGGGAGGGGCTTCAGGTTCGTTCTGGGGGTCTAAGACAAGCCTGGGACATACAAACTGGTTGGGCAGAGCCCGGCGATGGGCCACGTACCGGAACGATGTTCTCTTGAGATGAGCACCATGCGGGACCCAGCCTTCATTCCTGGGAGTGTCAGGCCTGAGCCACCCTGATGAGGGACAGGGCCAAAGTTGCTGTATTTGGAGATGAATTCTGAAAAAAAGGGCTTGCCCTTTTCTGGGTGATGGAGGATACAGAGAGGCTGTACTCAGTCATCTGGCCACTCTGTAGCATCACCATTAAAAACAAGTTTGCTTGAAGCCACTGGCAGGCGCTTAGTCCAAAAAAAAAAATGTCATCATGAGCTGATGAAAAATAAATTTCTGAAAAACTGCATCTTGTCTATGGACAACGTGAACGAGGGGCAATGGCCCAGAGGATCTGGTCATCACTGCTGATCATTTGCCTGGGCTTGGGTTAGGTTGTCACCAGGAGAGCAAAACTGCAGCTTGTAAATATCTTTCCTTTCCAAAGATTTTAGCAACTTCAGTGTTGCTTCACCAAACTAATGGAAAGGCAGCACCCTGCTGCCGTGTGTGAGACAAGGGATGCAACGACAGCAACGCCCAGGCAAAGGGTGCCTGAACCATCAGGACAGCAAAGGAGAGAAGCCAAGCAGGCAAGAGCAGACCAAGAATCAGGGAGGAGCCAGCGTTTTGCACTGGTGAGGGCCCCTTTGTTGTTCTAAAAGAACCTGTTTGGTTTACAATAACACTGGAAGGTTGAATATTATCTCCAAGGGCGTCCGTCAGACCCGGCAATGGGGTGGTGTCAGCCGGGCTCTCTCATCCCAGCCACAGGACTTATAAGAGGGATGACAGATGTAAGCAGGGAGGGAGGGACACATGTCAGGAAACCTGCTCAAAGAATAATCAGCCTCTTTGAGAGTCTTCTTTTGAGCCTCCTGGAAAAGCAAGGCAAGTTTTGATTTTCTCTTTGTTTTGTGCTTATGAAAACAGAGGTTTCTTGCCTTCCCCTTGATAGCAAATGCTGAGTTCCCGATTTCCCACTGACGTCTCTTCATTTCACCTGGGTGCACCAGCAAACAGCACCGTCCGAGACAGGAGATGAATGCCATCCTCTGTGAGTCTCTGCTCCTGGCTATAACCACCACACAACAGTGCTTTTGTTAGGGCACTTCTACCTACCAAAGCTTGGTGGTGGGGAAAAATGTTGCCGTGCTGGTCAAGTAGGAGGCTTCTTCACCTTTAATCAGCTCTACCTGATGCCACCTGTTGGCTCTTTGGCTCCTAAAATGGGGTGGGCTGCTCAGGAGGTGTGAGATACTGTCATCAGTGACACTGCCTGTGTCAGATCCTATCATCTTGCTCAGCTGGCTGCTGCACCTGGTGCCTGATTTAATGCTGATGGGAAGGAAGAAGAGATGCCTCATTTCTGCATGAGCTGCAGCATCCTCTATGTGGCCAGATGGCATGTTGTGAGCTGACTGGCTGAAGGTCCAGACCCTGTATCTGATCCTGACCTGGGGTTTGGCTGAGCTCGTGTGTCGATGCACAGCATGCATGAAGAGGCTGCGTTTCCTGCTGGAGGCCTTTCTTCAGCTCCACAGCAGCGATGAGTAACATTAGCAAACCAAGGAGCATGACCACGAAAGAGACACTGGCCTGAATTATAAGCTACTGCAAAGATGCCTTTATGTTCCCATCTGGAAGATGTTTCTTGAGACAAAGCAGCTTCAGTGTGATCAAATCAAAAAGCAGTGTTTAGCATTTGTAATGCTCCCTCAGCTGTGAATCCAGTGATGAGCTGCATTGTCCTCGGACGTGTGGACAAGTCCCTTCTCTGAGGGACAATGCACAGCATTGACCACAGCCCTCTGCAGAGGAGTGGATCCAGAGAGATGGACGCTTGGGTTTGTGAAGGTGGTGCCGATGACAGCAGAGCACAACCAAGGCTACCTGAAGTTTCTGTCTTCCTTAAGATGAGAGAAATTAAGGATGGGAAGGGTGAACATGTCTGCCTTTCATAGGTCTCCAAGTGCTCCGAAGTCTGAATGGACCAAGACTTCCTTCAAAGAGGGGAAAGAACTGATCTCCCATTAGAAAGATGGTGATACCAAGGCACTATTTGGGTCCCTCTTGTGATGGCAGAGAAGAGGGATGGTGTGGGAGAGGGAAGGGACTGGGCATTTCCCAGCTTGCATATATCCTCCTTCAGCTGCTGGCATCATTCTCCACTTGCTGGAGGCCCCTGGACATGGCACCTGGGCTGGGCTGGGGTTGTGCAGTAATTTATTGGTTGATGGTCCTTCTCTGTGGCTCTGTAGTTTGCACCCGGTGACCTCTGTGAGTGACAACGCTGTGGCATACAGAGGAAATGGGCCCTAACAAGACTGCCAGACTGCACGAATCTTTTTTTTTTCTTTTTTCCCTTTTTCTTTTTTTCCTCTCCCAGCGTACGAGTTGTGGGTTCTCTGTGGCTCACCTACGTATGCAGACCTTTTCCAGGTCCTCCTGGTGACCCCTGCAATAACCAAAGCTCAGGACAGGATGCCGGGGAGAGAGGTGACCCCCTGCCTGCTGGGGGAGCTGGTGCCCGTGGGGTGGCACAGAGCTGGTGGGGTGGCCCTGGCCACCGCTGGGGTGGACATGGCTGCACCAAGGTCCCTGTGGGGAAGGGTTCTGCCATGAGCCCTGTGGCAAAAGCATCTGACAGGGTATTGCTGGGGTATTGACTTCTCTAAGTCTTTTAACAAAAATATCAAAAATCTGTCGGTCTCTTTCCTTTCGTGTTAAGGGCCAAAGTACTGGGGTAGGGAGACTGGAAATTTGGTATTTCTCTGGGACAGATGCAAAGCAATGAGGTCTTTCCTCTCCCACAGCCCTTGCTTGTGCTGTGGTTCCCTCCAGGACTTATGAGGGTCAGGTTACTATCTCAGAGGAGCAGTATTTTTTTTTCCCCTTTTTCATATTATAGAATACAAACAAATGACAGAAAAGGTCAGGTGGTGGGAGAGAGGGTTGGCTGGCTCAGAGCTGTAGGGACCGTCGCTTCCTCCCAGAGATGTTACGGTGGTTGTAAGGTCGCATCTTCATTTCCACAAAGGGGATGGAGAACTCGTGGCCTTTCCAATGGTACCAGTTAATTCCCTGGCAGGAGGAAAATAGAGGTTCAGGGTAAAGAAAGACCCGTATGTGAAACTAGAGTGAAAGAGGAAGGAAACAAGCTTGACTGCCTAGAGAAGCCAGAAGGAAGAACCTGCTGCAGTGGGAACAAGAAGCTCTTCAGCTGCTGTGGCTTTGCTTGTTTTTTTCTCCCACACCTCAAAGGTTCCTGGTCGGGTTTGATGTTTGCATTTTTTAGTGTAACTTAACAGCCTGCTGCCAAGGCAGCCAAAGTGAGGCATGAAGCCCCAGTAGCTCAAAGGAGGCTTCCCTTGTTCTGGCTGCTACATAGTCACCCCAGCTGTGATCTTCACCCCATGAACTGGCCACAGGGCCCCAGCCCCAGCTTGATGCTGGGCTGGGTCCCACCACGAGGAGTGATGCTGAGGGTTCACAGCATCACTCTTGGCCCTTACCTGGCTGTGCCGGGCCTCTCCGTACTTGCCATTGAGGTTGGTCCGATGGCAGTTCTTGTACCACCAGGCCCCCTTGTAGGACATGGCACAGTT